AAATTTTTTAAAGATAACTTTTAGATCATCAAGAATACTATATTGTGGTTATCCAGAACTTCTAGAAGCATGTTACAGAGATGTCCTGACCGAGGTAACTGTGAAGATTCTTTGAACTCCATAACTCTGTAATTCTTTTACAGAAAAACATGAGTACATTGTCAGAATGCTCATGTGAGCTTTTGTTTGTGGTCTTAATAATACCTTTAATTATGCGCTTTATCTTTTGGTTAGCTGTGATTATCTTTTGGCACCTGGATGCTATGATCTTTGAAGGTCCCTTCCCTCTTCTCTCTCCTTTCCCTCTTCCTCTCCTCTTTTTCTAATTTTTCAGCTGCTGTCACCATCCCAACCACTAGGTGTCTGCATCGCACAGAAAACTGAAAGGTGCCTTGAGAAAAGCAGCTGGGAAAATGAAAGGAAAACCGAGGGGAAAAAGGGGAAATGCAAAAGGACCTGGAAGAGCTCATTGCCATGCCCAGCCACCCTTCAGCCAGGGATGATATTCAGGCTTCTCTTGTCGAGCTCTCGTTTCAATGCCCAGGGCTATGTTTCCACCAGCAGGAATGCAGAACTGATGATTTTGTTTTCTTTGGAGAGTGAGAGGGAAAAGGAGCACTACCTCCAGCTCCAGCCCGGTGTTCGGATGTGGCAGTGGCATGTTTTCCATCCATGTTAGGGGTGATTTAACCTGGTAGATGGAAGATGGTGATAGGACGAGACGTAATGAGGGGAAGTTCATGTTCGACAATAGGAAATATTTATTCACAAAAAGAGCGGTGAGGCTTTGGAGCAGACTGCCCAGGGAGGTGGTAGTCACTGTCTCTGGAGGTATTCAAGAACCATGGAGATGCTCACTACCACTCTGGTTAGTGGGCATGGTAGGGATGGGTTAATGGTTGGGCTAGATGATCTTAGTGGTCTTTTTGCTCCTGAATGACCCTATGACTCTATGATCTCTTCTGGCTAGGATGGCGCAGGGCAAGGATGTCCTGGAAACTCCCTGTTTCAGTGGTGGAGTGTGTGAGGAAGCAGATAATTATCCAGGATGACAGAACCTAGCTCTGTGACATGCATGTACCCATAGAAAGCATGGCCTGTGCAAGATCAGGCACTGGAAAAGCTGAGAACTGTGCTCCCCAGGTTTCTAGGTCCAGTGTTAAACTCCACCTTGGATCCCTATATCTCCTTTGTCATGCACAAGCCTATCTCTAGTTCTTGCTCCCAATTCTTTTATTTCTGCAGTTCACATTTATCTTTCTTTGCTCTCTTACTAGGTTTGGGGTTTCTTTCTTTTCTTTGAGGCACCATCTTGCAGTGCCCTGGTCATAATGTAGCATACTATGCTGCTTTATTCACAGTGAAGACTTCTATTGGCATGATCCTCCAGCTTTCAGCTCTGGGGACTTTTATGGGATATTAATTAGTAATTAGTCTTATTTGTCCCATGATACCCATGGTCACAGGATTCAGAGATGTAGCTGCCTGTTGTCCCTATATCCATCCCAGGGTGACTTTGGTGCTCTGTAATGTCAATCTAATTTTGCCTAGAGCAAAATCAAGATGTTCTCTGCCAGAGCTAATGGTAGTGATGTCCTATGTAACAAAATTGCTAGCTGTTTGCCTTGAATAAGTTCTTGTAGCATTTTACATAATTTGATTGCTATTGCTGAGGTCACACAATGCATTTACACAAGCTACTGTTGTATTGTTATAAAGATGCATTTTACAGACTGCTACAGGAGAGATGGAACAGGGAGTTGTAACAGGTTCAATGTTAAATAACATTAGCTATAATAGTTTGGTTAAAATTGCTTTTTACATCTATAACTGAAAAACATCAGCAAGAAACAGCACCCGAAGTGCAAGGCCCAAGTTGACTTGATGAAGTCACTGAAACAATTTTTTTTCACAATATTTTCTAGCACAATTTCCATAATACTTATACTCTGTTTAGGTTATGATTTCATTTTAACTTCCAGTGCCAAATTCAGTACAGTTTTGATGTACCAGAAAATGCATACTAAAATCTTTTCAGTGCTGAAATTACAACTCTGAAATGCTGGCTAGGGATAAACATAATAATCTTAAATGCCTTGGTTTTCTTATATTGAGACGACTCCTGCTGCTTCTTGAAGGACATTAGGAACACAAAAAATACCATTTCTGTAGAGCATTATGTGAGAATTCCGATGCCAGAAGGCTCTGGATGAACTTCAGACTTTTTTTTTTTAAGCCATCATTTATTTAAAAAAAACAATAAAAAAAATTAATACTCTTTCAAGCATTAAAACTGGTGAATGATAATTGGTAGAAGTTTTATATTATTGATTCAGTAGACCAGCCACACAAGTAAGAGTAAAATCTTTAGAATGCAGATATGTGTCTAGAAGCTAGAAAGGAGGAATAGCATTACCAACCTGTAATCCCCAACTGTTTGATTCTTGTCTGAGAGGAAAATAAATGATATCTTTAAAACATTTAGTTTGCCCTGGTTCAAATGTGAGCTCTGCAAAAGCAAGACACAATCTGAAGCTCCATATTTTCGAATTCATGCTCCTCATATCTTTATGGTTATAAATCTGATCCAGTTCTTGATAACAGGCAGCATTGCAAATGGAAAGGATTATGCATAGGATGTTTCCATTGTACCACACTATTTTATCACTGCCCCAGAAGCTTGCAAATAGGAGAATGGGAATTATAGATTACAGGGCTTTGCAGTACAAGTGTACAGTTTTCTTTTAGCACATGCTGTCCAGGGAAGAATGAAAAGTGAAAACTAAGTTGCTTCAGAGCTATTGCAGCTCCAACTCCCTTTTATTGTGAGAAAGCCAGGCTAACTTCTCTTTTCCCACATGCAACAACCAATAGCCGGGCTGATTTCTGCTTTCCCAGGCTGATAAGTTATCACAGTTCCTTTGTTTAGTGCTTGATATGGTCCTCAGGATGACTTACTTTCTCAGATACCCAGCTGCACTTCTCAAGGAGGATCTCTGGGTTCCCGGGACAGCAATTCCCAGGTTCTGAGTTAGTTGCCTGGCAGATATCTTCTGTGAGCGATTTAGCAGACATCTGAAAGGGGGAAAAATAAATTGGTATTTTCTTTCTCCATTCTCACCAAAAATCTTTGAGACGTGAAAGCAGTTAGAGTTTGAGGACCCACCTTTCGATAGACCGGTTTCCACCTAGATCATCTGTGAAAGGCTCTGTTCCATTTCTGGAGCTTCACGGTGGCACAGAGCTCACTGTGACTGCAATGAACTCAACAGCTCCTGTGTTTCCATCAATTTCCATCTGTTTTTGGAATAGAAAGCAGTTGTTTAGTAGGTGTGTAGATGGTGGGTTGATGGTTGGACCTGGTGATCTTAGGGGAGTTTTCCAATCTGTATGTTTCTGTGACTGATTCTTGATGGCTGTAAGCAGGTCATGCTACTGTATAACATCCAGTTCCCTAAATGTGATCCGTAGTTCACTAATGCTAATATATGAAAAAGGAAAAAAAAAAAAAAAAAAAAAAAAAAAAAAAAAAAAAAAAAAAAAAAAAAAAAAAAAAAAGGAATAGAGCTAAAAACTAAAGAAATAATGAAGAAAAAAGGGAATTTTTGTAGGTTTTGGACCGCTACCAAATCAAGTTCATTTCAAACCTATACTGAACCAAGTGTTCCTAGTTGTAACCCACTCATATTTCCACCCTGAAACACTAAAAAAACATTCTCTAACACATACTAGAGACTTTTAGAAAGAGGCAGCGTGGGATTTCAGTGAATAATATTGCATTAGCATGCTCTGAAGTATTTCCTTGCCAGTTCAGTTTCTTAAAGCATCTATTTCCTCATCTTTTAAGTTAAAGATACTGAGTTCGGAATCTGTGGTGCTGTCTCCAGTAGGTTTGTTTAAAATATGGTCCTCTTCTAACAATGTAACCTATGTGAACGGGACCAAAAGAAATTTGTAACAAGTTCTATGCAATTTTTACCCCTTGACTGTAGTGGGAATGGGGCTTGTTCTTCAAACTGCAACAGTAGCTCTTTTGTAAACTGTGTTATCCAGGAGTTTATAGGCAGTGCAGCAATTAGCTGATGCTGTGTACTTTCTGGTTATTTGAAGCTCACCAAAACTATCATCAGGCTGATAGTGAAGAAATCATCAGCCAGCAGTTCAGATGCCAGCATCTTCTCCCAGGTACCAGTGATAGGACGAAAAGTAACAGCCTCCAGTTGCACCAGGGGAGGTTCAAGTAGGAAACGTTTATTCTCAGGAGTGGTGATGCAGGGGCACAAGCTACCCAGGGAAGTGGTGAAGTCAACATCCCCGGGGGTGTCTGAGAACCCTGGAGATGTGTCACAGAGGGACAGGATTAGTGAGCATGATAGGGATCGGCTGGGGCTGGGCTTGGGGATCTTGGAGGTCTTTTCCATTGACTCTGTGATTCAGAGACAACATAAAGACTTGGGTATTTCTCTTCCAAGCACTTCAAGCAGCAAGTTTGGGTTTGTAATCGAGATGAAGCACAATCCGCAGTCGGGGCGTGAACAGACAGACGCTCCCAAAAGGAGAGGAGAAAGGTTGGAGGAGAAAATCAGAGCTCCAGGCACGCGTGCAGTAACACCCTCCCTGCACCAGCCGAGCCGCCAGCCCGTGCCTTGCGGGAGCTGCTCGGATCCACCGCACCGAACGTGGCACCGCAGGGCCCCCGCGGCGCTGGCTGAGCGGGGCCGCAAGATGGCGCGGCGGGAGGAGAGGGGGCACAGCCCCGGCCACGGCGGCCCGTGGGTCCGACCGCTCCTCGCCGCCCTCCCCGGGGCCTCTCACGGGGCCGCCTGCCGCTCGCTGCCCGCCCCCTCCGCACCGCACGGACGGCGGCACCCAACTGGAGCTGCGCGCTGCGCTGCAGTCGGCGGATGGAGCGCGCTCTGCTTTGACTCATCGCCCACACACAGGTAAGGCAGACCTGTTGTTTGCATTCCGTCTCTACACCGTGCTCTCCTGCGCCTGGGTGCACCCCCCTCATCCCTTTCTCAGAGGTTTTAGACGCCTGCCAGAGCCTTCTTTGGAATGCGGTGACTGCCACTGCAGCATTTCCTATGGCAGACTGCTGGGTGTGAGGACGATCTTCCCATAATCTTCATTTCTGCTTTATGTGTCGTAACAGTTTTATCTCCCTTAGATCTGCCTGCATGCTGAGCTTGGATCTTCGGTTGTGCCATAGGTCGCTCCTCAGAGATAACCGATGTGTTACCTCGATACGTGTGTTGTTTGAATTCTCCTCTGTAGCACGGATCCATCAGTGGTGAACTTCATGACGAGCTGAAGTGCCGGCTGCCAGGAGACACCAGGAAAACAGAGCAGAAGGTGAGTGGTACACCGTGTCACAGTGAGCACCGGAGCCGAGAGGAGCAGAGACTGCTTTGAGGAGAACTACATGTGAAACGTAAGTAATATTGTCTGATACTTCTGTTGTGACCTGTCAAAAACAGCAAACCTGGGCAGAACTGTGTTGGAAGTCTTAACAGGTTCATTGGGAGTCTGAGCAGGTGTTTAGGAACAGCAGCTCCGTGCGATGCTAAGACAGTGCAGCCCTAAGCTCATTTCTTCTTTCCAAGTGGAGATCTTTTTAGGTTTGAACTGCATCAAATCTGTAAACTGGCACTGTCGTGGTCTGCAGATGGGATTTGTAGGCAGACACTGCTCTAAGACTCCTCTGACATATTGTGAGTTATTTGAATGCTGGACACCCAAATGCAATCTGCTAGGTTGTTCTTTTTTTTTATTTTCCCCTTCTTTTTTTCTCTCCAAATTATAAACATTAAATACAGTTTGCTCATCTTAAAGCAAATGATATGCCGAAGGGAAGAAGATTTATCACTTTGGAAACCCATGGAGAGTCTCTGGGTGCAGCAAATATTTGGAGAGAAGTGTCCCCACAGTATTCCAAACTCATTTTCCTGTCAGTAGATCTGACATCTGAAAAAGCACGTGAACCAAGTGGCCTATGTGATTTTTCTGTAGGGATCTCCTTTTGGATACAGCTGGAGACAGTCAGATCCTTGCTCTAATCAGTATGGCAGTTTACATTTATGTTATTTATGCACATGCTTACAGAAAAAAATATCCTTTATGTGGGGTAGATGTGCACCCAGTGGTTGAGTTTGTGTAATCAGTGAGCTCAATGGAGAAAAGAAGCCGTAGTGTTTTCATGTACTAAATTTCATTCTTCAGCAATAGAGCACAAACTTCTCTTCCCATTTTTTTTTTTATTCTTGTTTTGTCTGTATTGGGCTGAGAGGAGCTTGCACGTTTTTTCAGCCAACAAAAAGAATTTTCTGCCTTTTGCTTTCTATCCACCGACCCACCACCCTTTCTTTTCCCTGTATCCCTCACTGTCAGGACTGAAAATGGTGAAGTCAATCAACTACTATAGTCAATTAAAATTTTGCTGCTAGTTAAATAGTTAGTATTCATTTCCTACCATTCAACAGAAATATTTTCCTTCTGGCCAGGCAACCAAGTAACACTGCAAATGTATTTTTGCACCTAGATCACTGGATAAAATGGGGAATGCATCAATGAAACCCAAACATCTGAGGCAGCCAGACAGACACATAGCAAACCTAGCTCTTGGTTGTGCTAGCAACTATAAGTTTCTAACAGACCCCGGTCTGGGCATCCACGTGACTGGACAAGTTGATGTGCTTTGCAGCAGGGTGCTTGAACTGGAAAAGGAGCTGAAAAGAAAAGATGAAGAGTTGCAAGAGGGTCAAAGTCTTGTTGCTGAGCTTCAGGAGCAGCTGTCTGTGCAGACTAAAGTCATAGCAGAACTCACCAAAGAACTTCAGAGCAAGTGCATACAACTGAACAAGCTGCAGGATGTTATTAACACCCAAGGAGAACACTCTCTTCAGCCTTCTCCATTTAGAGTGACTCCAAAGAATCAAGTCTCTGCTGACAGGAGGAAAGGAGCTAAGGAGGGTGTATCTGCAGAGCCAACAACACAGCTCTATGATTCTGGCAAACAAGCTAGGTTTTCCTTTGAAAAATCAAGAGTCCGAAAGGATTCCAGGTGAGCTCACTGCAGAATGGCTGTATGCTTGTGTTGCAAGGGTGTGATTTCTGCCCCAATTATATTGTCTCCTTATGAGAGATTGCAGTCAAATCAAATCACCCATCTTTTTTCCTGTATAGGCTTTGTCACTATGGTAGTTAGGTGCTAGCTAGATTTGTTTAACTTTTAGCAAAGAATCATCTGTGTCTCAGACTTCAGATTGATTTGTAGGTGGCCTCTGTATTTTAGCTTTTAGCCTCTTCATTACTATCAACTGAACAGAAACTAAGTCTCAGGTCCAGGTTTGCCTACAGCTTACATTTGAAGCTCTGCTCTGCAGCACTGATGGGCAGAAGACTGGATGCCATCACATAAGTTCAGAACCATGTTCTTGTGTTATGGATGGCCTTAGAAAGAGCAGATGGCCTCAGCTAGAGTGCAGTGAGGGCACGATTCCTAGCTGTGTACTAGCATTCTCATCCAGACTGGATGTGGCTCTGGGCAGCCTGGTCTAGTGGTTGGCAACCCTGCACAGGGTAGAAGGGTTGAAACTAGATGATCACTGTGGTCCTTTTCAACCCAAGCCATTTTATGGCTCTATGATTCTATGATCACAGTGCCAACTCCCAGTTGCAAAATATGACAAGATATTTTGTACAGCATGATTATCCTATTAGTAACTTCCTCCTGCCTTCCAGCTTCTGACAGTCATTGTTTAGGAACATATTTGTACTTTTACCTCTCTGAATCCAATTACACTTCCAACCCCTGCAAAAGCCAAAAGAACCAGCAGTTGCAGCTCAACCTGGAGACAGTTCACACGCTGGTATCCTTAAGCATACCCTACAGTTTTACTTTGCAGTTTAGGCACATCCCAGATATGTGTCTGAACATGGTGATAACCAGAATCTGTGAACTTCAGCCAGCAGCTCAAGTGTCTCAGTTTTGTACATCTTCATGATTTTGGGGCACAAGTAATGCTGTAGACATAAACGCCATCTGGCTCAGTCAAGTTGTCATCCATTGTATCCAGCTCTACATTCCATTTTCCCTCCCATTAATATTTTATAATCTGATTCAAAAATAATCATTGTTACTGGTCAGGCTCCCAAAGATTTGTAACAATTTAAAATATACTGTTCCTGCATTTATTCTGAGCTTTATGGTCCTGGAAACAACTGTTTTAATATTCACTGCAACAGCACTAAGAACAGACCACTGTCCTCTCTCCTCTCCACTGTTTCCAGCTCTCCTGCTGTTCTCTTTACTTCCCTTATATTCCCTTCTGTTCAACACCTCCCAGTTTCCTTCATTTGCACTTCAAATTTTATTGGAATTTTCATCTTCTGTGATGGCCACTAAACTTTCATTTGCCTGCTAACTATTGCCCTGAGTACAATTTTAGAGTGAAGCTGAATTCATTGTTTGTTTCATTATCAAGTAAGCTAGTAAGTGTTTCAATTTTGCCACTGTAATTATCATTAGAGAGTTTGCCATTAGAGAGCTGGTCATGTGTTCTTTATAAAAGTTGCTTTTTAGTTTGTAGTGAGAAACAAAGTTAAAAAAAAAAAAAAAAAAAAAAAGCAGAACACAATAATTTTGGATGTGCAACATAAACATCACCTTTTAAAGCTAGCTATTACTTGGACATTGACATAAGTCAAAGAAGACAAATAAAAAAAAAAATTATTACTTCTTGGGTATCCTAAGTATTCAATAGATAATGCCAGAGATTAAATTACTTCTTCTTACATTATTAAGCTTAAATCCAACTTCATATTTTAGCAATTGTTCTTAAATTACCAAGAAATCTTCCATAATTATTCATTTTCCTGCTCTAACTCTTGGTAGGACAAAAGGCAATATACCTGGGTTTTACTTGAAAGTGCAGGAGCATGCTCCAGCAGTTAGGGAGACAATTAAATAGCTGAATGTGAATTGTATTAATGGTGCTATAGCAATAGTGTTGTGTTGTGTTTTGTTTTGTTTTTTTTTTTTTAACATTTCCTTTGTACTAATGCTGTACAAACTCATTGCATAGTTCTCTGCTATTTATTGAACTCCCAGTGGGAATACCCCATTGGGAGTATTTCAATACAGATGCTTTAATGAAAGCTCTAGAAGCTTCAGATGATTCCTCACCTATAGACTATGAATGCATACTCTCCTATATATGCAGTCCCCTGAGCCAGATGGATAAATCCATCCCAGCTTCTAAAAATGAATGTGTTCTTTAAGGGAGATGGGGTATTGAAAAGTTTTAGCAAAGGTCTGTAGAATTTATCCCTTGAGAGTGATATTTGAAAGCTGATTACATTCCAGCTATCTTTCAGTCTGAAAAGAATTCAACTTCTTACAATTTGCACAGCATTGCTAATTTAAATGTCTGATGACCTGTGGTGTTTCTTCTCCACTTCTGTGTGTCCCTTCACAGTGTGCTACCATGATCAGTAGCATTTAAGCTGCTGATGTAAACTTTTTCCTCATTACAGTCTCAGGATTGTGACCTAACTGCTACTAGTCGTTATTAGTTGGAAAGCAAAATTATTATTATTTGTCACTTAAAAAGTACTTTTACTTTCAGCCATTTCCAGCAAATGTCCAAAATCTCTCATTGCTAATAGAAAGCCAGGTGGAGAGAAAGCACTGTTCCCTGACACACATGCTCTTAGCAAATCACCAAACTGGGGTGGGTGTGGGGGAACTGAAAAAAAAAAACAGTCAGCGATGATGTATTGTGCTGGATGTGTATGAAATGAGCGAACAACTGAGTCAAGAGCCTGAGGCATGGCTGTGAAGCTTTTAGGTCCTCACTGTACTTTCTGAAAGCAGCACTGTCCTCTGTTTTGTATTTCTGGGAGCTTTAGTGCTTGTTCTTAAGTATCATTTCATGAGCCATTACTGCATTTTATTGTGGTGTAATGTGCATGATGCAGGCCAGGGTAAATGAAATAAGCAAAGCCATTTTTAGTTGGAAACAAAGTTAGAGGCTCTATTCCAATAACCCTATTGTCTTCAGAAAAAGCCATATTATGATCCCTGTTTCTAAGCAATCTTTACCATAACTACTTCATTTTATTTTCTTTCTTCTTGTCATTACCATTACAGACTTACAGACATTATGTGGCGAGTTACGTGGTAAATGTACTTTCTTTTCATTCCCCATTTCCATGACAGTTCATCGCTGATTTCCCTCAGGAAACTTAGTACTTTTCCTGGTTTTGATGACTGATTTGCATTGTTTATACAAATACAAATAAGAGGGGTTCGCTTGTAGAAAGCCATGAGGGTGCTGGTTTTGTTGGGCAGCTTGTCTACACATGCTGAATAGGAACAAGGGGACTTGAAGACATAATGTCACTTTCACTAGCAGTAAAAGAGAACTGTTCGTTTGGTCCATAAAGGCTTTCAGTGCAGCATTTGCTTAATTGCTTTTGTTTCTGGCATGGATTCAAGACACTATGCGGCATTTAGAGGAAGCCCTTGACCCAGAGTAATCAGAATGCATGGATTGCTCAGTGTGTACACAGAGCCAGCTCTGTCCCAGCTGGTTAGTCACTAGTAGTCAATTCAGGTAATGTTGATTTTCTGACGTTCTCTCCTTAAAATTCGCTTCTTCCACCAGCAGAGCAAACACACTGTTCCTTGTCTTTGCAATCATTTCTAAATCAACATTTCCTACTGCGGGAAGTGATGCAGAGACACTGTCAGGAAATATGAGCCAAGAATCAACCAGGACACAGTCTCACAAGGTCCAAATGGATGAAACAGCAGGATGGTGATAACAACAACCATCAGCAACCCCAATCAAAAAGATATCGGTCAGGCCCAAGTTCTAGCCAGGATACATGACCACAGTACTTACAGTGTGGTGCCCAAATTCCTACAAAAGAAAAAAAATCAAGAACAATGATGGCACTTCTTATGGGATTCATTTAAGTTACAAGGATTGTTATGTACATCCGTGATACTGATCGTGTTGTCAGTGTTAGAAATTAGAGGAAACATTTTGAGAAGAATGAATGCCTGATGAGTAATGTAACCCAGCTGGGCTTGATCTATCAAACTTTGCTTTTCATTGAAAACAGTGAGAAGAAGCTCATCACAGATGCCCTGAATAAAAATCAGTTCTTGAAGAGACTGGAGCCTCAGCAGATCCGAGAGATGGTGGAATGTATGTATGAGAGGACTTTCCAGCAGGGGAGCTATGTCATCAGACAAGGAGAGCCAGGCAATCACATTTTTGTCCTCAAAGGTGAGTACTGCTTGCTTGTGCAATGTATAACTGCCAGAATCAGGGAAACAATTTAGAAATCTTTGCAGGAGATAGCAACATTGTTATTTGTACTCATACTGGCCCCACTGACATCAATGTATGTTTCATCTGTGACTTTTGTTTCTTTTTTAATAGAAATAGAATTACAAGAATTAATAAGAATTAGAGTTCATGCTGCACAGGGTACAGGAACATACTTAAAGAAAAGAATTGAACTTAAAGAGTTCAGGTTCATGAAGATCTCCAGAGGAGGGCAACTACTAATTCTAATTAGAAATGGAAGGTTTAGTGTGAAAAATTGATGGTAGCTGTGCTTGGAAAGAAAAGATGAGGTGTGGAGAGGGAAAGAGGCAGGATTTGTGCAAACAGAATTTCTCCTGACACAGTAGAGCTTTACTTAGGGACCAGTAGATACATTGAAAAGTAGAGGTCCAAGCTTTCAGGATGGGTTTTTTGGGGGCCATAATCTGTGAAGAAATTCAGACTACCTTTTACTTATGATAGATTGATGGTAAGGCTCAGGACCAATTTATCTAAGGACAAAGTAACTTGCTTCTCATCTTTCTGCCCTGTCCCTTACAGTTTGCACATACACACAAATGTGTTTGCAAGAACAAACAAGTCTCATGAGGAATTTCCTCTTTCATCACTGTTTAATTTGCATTTGTCTAAAACACATGAGGCTATCTCAACCACTGCAGACTGTTTTGTTGGAACAGAAGTTTATCTCATTGGGGTTTGGAATGACTCTTCTCCATAGCCTATTCATGGTGCTGAAAAGTTTCTCAACTCTCCTTCCCTTCCACATCCAAATTGTACATTAGCAACACATCCAAGAGAGAAAAAAATCACTCAGATGGTTTGTACCCATGTTTCAAGACAGTGTCCCTATCCTTGCTTGACTTGAGAATGATGAAGCCAGAAATGCATTAATTTTTCTTCATTTCACTATGTGCAATAGAGCTCGGATTTAATTCATGCTAACCTGATGATTTTTGACAGAGGGCAGACTGGAAGTCTTCCAGCAGAATAAACTGCTTTCCTCCATACCTGTGTGGACAGCCTTTGGTGAACTGGCCATTTTATACAACTGCACACGGACGGCTTCTGTGAAAGGTACGTAACGTTTCTTACAGAGACATTGCTCAAAAAGAAGTCAGTAGGTTGAACTGTGAGATTCTTGCTGTATCTTGATTGTATCTTATCTTCGAAGTTGTCATTTAATAGATGTCAGCATCTCCTAAGTACCTCCTAAGTATGGTAAGCTCGTGTTTCCTTCCAGTTTGTTCTTCCTGGGCAGTTGAACAATCCTCTGTCACTAATGTTTTTATCTCTATTATGACCTTTGATAAATGATCATGCATCTCCAAAATATGCTTTTTAACCAAATCTGTACCAGATTAACAACTAAGGAAGGGTTATGTTTCAATGTAGAATGATTTAGTTGCAGCAGTGATCATTAACTCTGAGTTAATTAATATTAACTCATTAACACTGATTTTGAAGTGATCTCAGAACCACGTGCTGTTCTCTTTTTAATAAAGCAGAAAAAGCCTAATTTGAGAAGAAATAAAACTTAAAGGAATTAGTTGCTTTTGTATTTCTTTTAGTTCCATATCATTCAGTAAGTTACGAGTCTCACCAAGGTTCATTTGTGTATGGCATTCAGGAGAAGATTGAGTTTGATAACAGTGAGGTAGTGGGAGAGATGGTATTTCTCAGGGAGACATGCTGCTTCTCCAAGACAAATACTGACTCTTCCTTTGAGTTTACTGCCTGACCACCATAGAGCTCAGTGTTGCTGTGATATAAGTATCCATCTTCTTGTATAAGACTGGATAGTAACCCATTCAGTATCCCTGGATTTCTTTTCTAGCCTGCCATCTTAATTCTGTGACAGAGCAGTAAGCGAACAAATGTAGTTTTAATTCCCCATCCCCGTTATTCCACTCTCCACTATCCTGCAAAAATAACTCATGTGGCAGCTTATTTCTTTTCTTGTCTGAGTCTGCAGGAACCTTGAACCATCAGTAAGTATGAAGAGTTCGTGTGTGCTTTAAAAAGGAGCAAAGGCACTAAAACAAGAGCTTTAAAAACTTCTGCTCTTTCTTCCTGTACCTAATATAAGCGCTTAATCATTGCTGGCTCTGTAGATGGAGTAACCTTCTGTAATCTGTTTCTTTGTGGCTGCCTGATAAATAGAACAGTGTCCATAATGTGATTATTTTTCATCCTAGCATTTGAATGTTTCCTACTTTTCGTATTTGCCTTCTGTATAGCATTAGCATTGTAAAGTAATGGTTCAGCATAGTAAGATGTCATGCTATTTGAAACCTTTGTTAACATTAATTGGTTTTGAGATAGGATGAGAATTGTCCAATAGTTGAACAGAAAGGGTATATGAATAGCTAAAATCTCTCCAGAAGCTCACTCCTCCCCACTAGCTTTCTCGTGTTTCTTGTATTGGAGGAAGAGCATCACTTGTGGTGGCTCAGTGCCACCACTGAGCACAAGTAGTAAGTCCGTATATGAAAACTCCTTTATACTACAGAAGGAAAACTGCTTTTATTTTTCATTTTACTTGTTTTAAAGCAAATTAAATAGAAACACAACATTTTGCTCAAAAAAATTAAAAGTGCAATAGGCTCTATTGTGTCAATGGTTGAACGCAGAGGCCACTCAATAGTTTCCATCTTTGATGATGGATCTTGTGCTTACTTTCATATTTTGATTACATTTCTAAAGGCAATCAGAAATCTGTAAGGTTTGTTTTTATTACCTTTTATTCCCATAGAGAATGGGAAGAAATATGTGAAGATTATAGGATGACATGAAATTCCATGTATTTCTTTACCTGTAGTATTCCTATCTTATTGTGTATCTCAAAATCAATTATACATTGTCTCAATTAGAGATAGGTCCAAACCATAGTATGCAGTACTATCTAGCTGCTATCAAATCGTTAGGAATTATTATGGATTTTTCTGTATTTTTTTTTTTTTTGTCTGTTTGTTTTGTTTTCTTAAAGCAATCACCAATGTTAAAACATGGGCACTGGACAGAGAAGTGTTTCAAAACATCATGAGAGTGACAGCACAGACAAGACAAGAACAGTACAGAAACTTTCTTAGAAGGTAAATATCATGCATTTGAGTTTCTGAGCACTGGCTTGGGCTCTGCGGTAGGATGCACAATAACATTGTGCTTAATGACATTAAGAGCACCTTAATGCCTTTGCATTAGGCACTCAATAACCTGAATACTGATCTCTTTCAATATTCTTTAGGATTCACGGAATCATTTTGTTCATTTTAATTGCCTTTATCCTGTATTGCATTAGGAAGTAGCAAGACCTGCATGACAAAATGAATATTTTTAAGTAATTGAACAAATGTATAGGAAGGCTACATTGGCTTGAAGACAAAACAATGTATTAAATAAAGAAAGTTAATGAAATCCTCTGACTAGAAGTTAATTTTGCTGCTGGTGCAGATTAAATAATATATTCCTCATCTCTTGGAGACTTAAATATGAGAACTATGTAGCTCTCTTTATGAACTCTTTTCTACATATAGTACTGGGAAAACTGTAGAGGAGTGGAGTATTTTTCCCTCCTTTAGGGTACTTAGGGATAAATGGTGCTTTTTTCTGCAGAAAAGCATGCTTTGAGTTTCCAAACCATAATTAACTGATTTCATCTTTTCCTTTTCTTTAACTTTTTTTCTCTAAGCGTGGCCATTCTGATATTGTTTCAAACAGAGATCTCAGGCCTGACACTGCATAGAATGTATTTTTGTGTGTTTTTTTCTTGCCTCCATCTTCGATTTTTGTAAGTGTTCCTGTTTGAGGCCAGTGGTTGGAGAACTGCTTGCCATCCTAACTTCCACAAGCTAGAGTTCTCAGGACAAGAGGTTTTCTCACTCATAGCAGCAGGTTCACTAAGTCATTACTGAGGCTGAATTTTCTTTTAATGGCTGTAAATGTAATATTGTATTTTTTACCTTTGTCTGATTTTGTGGTCTCTGTAATGCATTTGGAAATACATAATTGGATTATTGTAATTTCTTGGTTTTAAATGGATGGGTCCTGAATGACTGAATTTTGAATTTAGAGCTTTTTCCCCAATCAAAATACAAAGTTGATTTACAAACTGATGAATGTTTGCCACATTTCTCGAATTGTGCAGGTTTTGCTTATCTAAAAAGTAAGATAAGAGCGCTTCAACCTTCTAGATAGTGCATATTGTATATTGTGCATTTGGTAAAAAGAAGAACCAGCTTAGGTAGTTATAAATTGTGTTTGTGATAATTATTTGGATGAGAATAAGTCATAGCATTTATCATAATATATACATATATATTTTTTTGCTTTACATTTCTATTTTTGTTTTTGTTTTTGTTTTTTGGTAGTGTGTCCCTCTTAAAAAACTTACCAGAAGATAAGTTGACCAAAATCATGGACTGCCTGGAGGTGGTAAGATACCGTTAGATTTATCCAAACAGTGCTTAGTAAGCTTTAAAAATAGTGAAGGATGAAAAAGTAGAAATAAATACATAAATAATAGGAAAGCTTTTCTGTTTTTTAACATGGGAATGTTTTTGGATTGGTCAGAGTGGGATTCCAGGTTGGCAACAAATAACAGCAGTGCTAATACATTTGATGAAGCTGCATTTAGATGTGTTACAGATAGGCCACCATGCCAATTTTACATAGTAGAATGTCTGCATATTATAATGGGATGTGACTTGTGTTGTACATAGGAAAGTAGACATCAGTAGCACATTCAGATATATTAAGAACTCTGCAAATAATCAGATTTTTCAAAGAGACTGATGACATATCGAGCAATGTGGTCTCTTCTTTTCCTCCCATCAGGAGTACTATGACAAAGGAGATTATGTTATTCGGGAAGGAGAAGAAGGAAATACCTTCTTTATAATAGCAAAAGGAAAGGTAAGATATAATAAAACAAACTAATTATGTATACAAACACTTTTATTAGTAAAGATTAACAGAGGACTCTAGAGAATCAAAGCTGGAGAATTTAATCAATAAACTGCCAGGAGATGATGTTAGTTTTCCAAAGCATGTCTGCAACTGCAGATGTTTGCTGGTATGGCTGAGTTGAGTTTAGTTGGTTTGGGTTTTTTATGATTGTAGTCAGCAGTATGAGTTGTCTCCAGTTTTGATAGTACATTATGAAAAAGCCCTTGAGGAACTTCTTATTAATGTGAGAGTGTTGCTTCCAACAAACCTTTCCTGAAGACCTGAAGGAGACCATTTTGCAGTCCAGACACCTGTAGGAGCTGTGTATTACATATTCATTAAATTTATGCCTTGATTTTGCGAATCACAGAACTAAATTGAAACAGTGAAACGCTTTTTGAGAATAAATTTTCTGCCTTTATTTTTTAAAACAGGGTGGATGTTAAAAAATGTGAAGTGTTACAAAAGTTAAAATTCTTTCATAAATTCTCTGGTCTTATTTATTTGTAAAGGTGGAAAATGTTAGTTGCTGTTGTACAGGCTGCTTATCTGAGAAGACAAGCTCATATGATATCTGCCCACTTTGAGAAACTGAAGTATTTTTCAGTGTTGTTTTTTTTTTTTTTTTTTTTTTTTTTTTGGGGGGTTTTTTTTTTTTTTTTTTTTTTTTTTTAAGGGGATTTATTTTATTTATTTTATTCCATTTTAAAAGATGTGAGGAGAAAATGTTGGAGAATGGGAAATAATAAATACATTAATTTTTGCCATTTCTTAGCAAAATCTGGGAGGGACTGCAGGATGTTTGATGGATGGATTTAAGTTTTGAGAGGAAGTGGAAATTATATTTATTTGTAACTTACTGCAGTATCTTTGAGTTTTAGGTGTTTATGAAATAAATAAGCCATGGGATGCTTTGACTTCTATCTTCCTAAATTTTTGTTCCTGTGCTTTCCAGGTAAAGGTTACCCAGAGTACTGCAGATCATTCACAGCCTCAGCTGATTAAAAATCTGCATAAAGGAGATTACTTTGGAGAAAAAGCCCTCATTAGGTTAGTTTGCACTGATTCCTGATGTATCATATTTTAAGAGATCTGTCACTGTGTGCCAGATTATACATATCATGATTGTTTCAAATATAATCCTTGTTTTAACTGTAGTGTCAGCCAAGGAAAGCAATGGCTGAATTTGTCATAACTTTTTGGTCTTTGCAGAAACAACTTTGACACTTACTCTGCCTCTTACCTTTGGTTTTCCCTATAAAAAGCAAATGCTGGTCTTCTCTGTATTTTTGCTTATATTCCAGTAAAAGCAGTAATGAGAATTTGTTGCTACAACCTCTGGATGACTACTAGCATGGATAAGCTCAATGATTACTGGAAAGAATCTCTCTTTTTGTAAAAGTGCCCATGATAGTAAGTAAAAGAGAAAAGGAGTAGTACATGACCTACTGGCCATGTACCTTTTTCCAGGAACATGTTTTCAGACTTCGATGTGTTCTCAGAAGGCCTTCATTTATTGTATCTGGACTTTACTGATACTGCTGTTTTTCACGATGTTACAACCAATCTTTGGTAGAGTAGTTGAGGTTTTGCTTCTGGGGTTCTTTTCCTGGTAGAAATTATGTGTTGGATTTGCCTAAGGAAGTTCCTGTGATCACTAATTTGATTTTAAGCCGGATAGATAGTGCTTGCAATAAATAAATTTTTAAAAACCTAAGCATTAGAGAACTACTTTGTGCTCAGTACCTCAAGCGCTCCCTTACTTTAACTTCTTTTCTCTGCACTTTGTTGGCCTTCAGGGAGGTTGTAACACTCCTATCTAACAGGTTACATTAAGACCTTGTAAGGTCTTTGTTTTTAGCAACAAATTTGATGGGTAAATTTACATAGGATGTAGAATACTTTATACCAGGCTTTTCTATAAGGTGACAAATATGGAAAACGTACAATAAACTCCCAAATACATATTGACATAAAACAGCCACTGAAAAGTTGGTCCGAGAGAAGAAAACTGTACTTTTTTTTAGAGTTCTAGATTATTGTGTTGTTTCTTATGTGGGAAGTCAGTGTTTAATTTGGCAACAAACACTACTGTAAGTAATTTTAAGCTGCCTAAATGTAAAAGTAATTATCTCTTACCAAGACCTATACTGATAGGGAATTGCAGTATTTTCAGAGTCTACTAAAGAGCAACAACTAAAAAGATGATTAAGGTACTTACAAAACACTCAAATCATACTAGCTTAGTTTCTGGGCGCCTTTATGGTCTTTTCTATGAATATTTATTTGGATGATTGAATTGAGAATGGTGTGGGGAATATTTTGTCTCTGAGAGTTACCTCTGACATGAGTAGCAAATCTGTTGCAATGCTATTTACATATCTTCCTAATTTTGAGAAGGTTGCTAAAGAGAATCAAGATCCAAACCACACTGAAATGAGAATATATTCTTTGCTAGATGGTCATAATGATTAGTAACATACTAGAGCAGTTCATTCGGTTCAGCAATATTAACCCGAATACAGCCTGTGGAGGCCTTCTAGGAGTTTCACCTAGAGCAACAGTGATCCTTCAAGAGTAAGTACAGTGTAGTATACTTTAAGTATTTTGACGTTCTTCTGAATTTTTCTAATTTCTGTCAATTCTTAGTGATGATGTCAGATCAGCAAACGTTATTGCGGATGAATATGACGTGGAGTGCCTCGTTATAGATAGAGAGTAAGTATTGTGCTGTACCTTAAGGAGAGACTTGCATTCTTTTTCAGTTGATCAGCAATAAGAGGTGACTACAGTGTAGGCACAATCCTAGTGTTAAGGGAATACTGGGTGGGTGATTATGCTTTTGGTGCACTGATTTGTAGTTATGCTTTAGTCAGGCACCTGATGAAAAGAGGCTCGATGGAAAGCATAGGAGCACAGAAGCTTAAGAGCAGTTTATTCCTTTCTTTCTCTCCTTGTGCTGATAATGTTTCACATTAAGTACTGTTCGTTGGCTCAGGGAACAACAAAAAGCCCGTGCATCCCCTTGTTTAGGAGATATTCATTTGTCAAGGGGACCATGCAGCCAAATTGCTGATTTTGTCCAGCAGAGGCCAGCTGCATGCTTCCTAAAGCGGAAAGAAAAAGGAACAGTTAGAGGATGTAAGGAAGAGAATTAGCAGAAATAACCCAACTTTCTCGGCGTTCCTTCTCTGAATTTATTTCAGTGTAACAGGAAATGGTCTGAGGAGACCGAGCACTCTGATCCCCTACACTCTGACAAACCAGGTTTGATATTTCAGCAGGCTAGCACCTAGTCAAAGCTCTGAAAATGTATACCAGCTAAGCAACAGTACTTAAAACCCCGATGCAGCAAGGATTTTGGTTTCTCTCTCTTCTCCTAATATGTATGGTAGTTTATGCTGTTTCCTTGTTGTTTTTAGGACATTTAATCAAACTGTTGGAACTTATGAGGAGTTACAAACCTACCTTGAAGGTTATGTGGCTAACCTGGCGCGGGCTGATGAAAAGCGACATGCCAAGTAAGTCAGATCCCTTGTTTGATGTATTATTAATAGATAATCACAAAAAGATGGGGATTCGTCAGTAAAATCATGGATGGTGGTTGATGGAGATCATTTGGGAATGATTGGAATCACTAGAATAAAACATGGTATGCTTATGGAGTCCAATGACTTTTCTGAAAATTAGAACACAGAGAATCTCAGTACATTTACTTGCAACCAGGTGCTCACTCTGTCCAAGAAAACTGAACACAGAGAAGCAGTGAAATTGTGCTCATGTGATGTACTTTTCTTTTGCATTCTCATGATGACTTCCTTGACCGCTAAAGCCACTAAAGGTCAGCTTCAGCTTCTTGAAGGTGTTAATAGAACCACATAATTGTGGTTCTATTGTGGTGGCTACACAGCCCTGCAGAAACTTTTTCTCCAATGTAGTGCCCAAAGTTTATCGTCTGGCTCCTTCACTGGGGACCTCATCATGGATCAGCTATGGTTAAAACTACCATTGTTAGTACTTTATTAGTTTCAGAAGGATTCACTTTCAATTTACTTTTAAACCATGTCCAGGAAGAAAGTGTTCTGCACAGAATAAATGAAGACAACTTTAGGGAGTAGGAAGGATTTTCTTTTCCGTTTTTTTTCTTTTTTCCTCTATTTTCCATTTCCTCTTTATAGGAGTATTAGAGTCCTATGACGTGTTTTGCTGGCAAGGAAATCACTAACCTGTGGTAATTGTCTTAATGCAGAAGAAGATCCTTCTGTGGACAGTCAACCAAAGAAGTGTCTTTGGAGATGATACAGCTGAAGGAAAAAGTAGCCCAGTTCCCTTCTTCCCCATTCCAGAATTTAGAAGTTGTCACAACTCTCGGTGTTGGTGGGTTCGGAAGGGTTGAGCTTGTAAGAGTTTGTTTTAAACATATTTACATAGTTCTCAGTCTTAAATCAAATCTTTGTTATAGTTAAGCCATTAATTGCTTTATTCTGAGCCATGCTTTGCAAACCAGATTTCCACACTGGTTGACTGCCAGTTTGGAAATTCTACAGCATCACCTGGAAAATAAACAAAAATTAAATTTTCAGCCAGCTGTAAATGGCTACTACTTTGAATTTCTGGGAGCCTTGTTTTAACTTCCATCTTTTTTTTTTTTTTTTTTTTTT